GACATTTCCAGATGCTTCACTTGTTTGTGTTTTCACACATGCTGCAGCTTAGATTAGAATGAACTCCCAGCACAGGATTTAACCCCCCTGCATCTCTCCTTGGGCACTTTTTTATACCAGTCTGCCTTTTCTTCCTCTTGGGAGCATTTCCCTGTCTTATAAAAGACAGTGTTCAATTCACCACAGCCCTTCACCTTAAACTCCATGCAAAGAGGGCGTGAAACTACCATGCTGATCACCTAATGTTTCATAATCCAAATGGTAATTTCATGCCACCTACACTGGTGTATGTGACACAAGAAGTGGAGCAGTAATGAATTAGCCTTGCAAGGGTCTTGAAATAGAAGTTGTCACCCTGACATACTGGTGATTGGTAGTACAGGCTGGCCTATGAGTGTCACATTTTCTGCCCCACCAGTATTGACACTTGGTCAAGTTGACAAGAGTTCTTTTACATGTATATGTATATTGTGCAATCATCTGTAAAATCGGGAGGAAAATGAGGGAAGGAGGAAGTAGGGGGAAGGGGAAACAGAACAGGAAGCTGTATTTTCCTCTCAGTTTCAAGACGTTCTTTAGTTTCTCTTCTCAACAATATTAAGTGCAGAAAGCTGGGTAAACCCACACAGCATTATGCTTTGACTCCTGTAATGTCCCATAAAACTAGAGGCAAGATTCAAAAGGCCATGTTGCAACACCCTGGTTTTAATTCAGTGCTTGTCATAGTATGTCTTGTGTCCTCATGACAGTAAAGTAACTTCAGGATCCTGGAGAAGTAAGTTGTTTTCTATCCCTGTTCACACAGTTCTAGGTGAAGAGTTTAATATGACTGGCAGGAAGGTGGCATGGTTTGAATGTCTACCTGAGTTCTGCTCAAGTCCTAAATTTTGGCCAAGGGGTCTTTTGGAGAGTGGCACAGTGTTGGTACTAAAATAGTTTTGAAAGGCTGTTCCCATCCCTAGACTTGAGTCTGTCTCGCTTTGGGGTTCCAGTTCCTTGTTCCCAGCAGAGAAACAAGACGGCAAATATATCAGTTCTTGCTGAGGGATAGAATGACATCATCACTGTGATGTTGCAGCCGCATGTTACAAAGTAACATCTTGTGGTGATATAGACATGAAGAACTACAGTTAAAAGGTTTATCTTGGAGACAACTAGATCCGAGGCCCTGAATGAAGCAGATAATCACTTCATTTAATCGCTTTCTTTTGGCCTGATTCTTGAATACCACCATTGGAGGAGCAAATGTATAAAATACATGCAAGTACAACATACTTCTGAATTTTATAAATGTCTCATGTAGACATCAGACAGTGTTGACAGCAAGAGAAGAGCTGGGCTTTTTGTGGGAACAGCCTGGGTGTTGCCTGCCTGAGGAGAGAGAACTAGCAAGTTTGAGAGCATGACTGACTGCTTTTGGAGGGGAGAGACCACCAAGATCCAATCGTTTTTGGTCTTGGAGCTCAAGGCCTGCCCTGACTCTAGCTCTGCCACAGGCTTCCTGTGACCTTTGACAAGTCCCTGAATCTCAGTGCCTAACATCCCAATCTGGAGACTGGAGATAATACTAGTCTATTTAAATTGCATGTCCTTGAGGACGTGTCTACTTATGGTGGTGTAGCGATGTGCTACCTCACTGTACGGCGACATAGCAATCACATAGGTCTACACATAATCACCAGCTCTACGTCGTCATAGCAGCACACCCCCCGGTTATAGTGGACCACTAAAGTGACATAGCAGTGAAATTGAAGTGTGCACTGTGCACAAAGCACAGTAACCACCCGTACCATACCGTGCCATGCGTTAGTACTTCCAGAAGGAAGTACTAAAGCACAGCTCTATAGCAATGTTGCCATACAGCAGTGTGTAGACATGCTAGGACAATAGAAGTGCCACACAATATATAATTATGCTACAAACTATAGTATTTTTTCATCCTAAACTTCTCAAAACATCCAGAAATTTAGGAACTGATCATTAGCTATATTCATGTCCACTGTAGAAATGCAGCCCCCTCCGAAGTAGGTGGCAACATCCTTTTTAACAGTGAATAACAACATTACTCACCAGTGTCACCATAGGAGGAATTATATGCTATCCAATTGAACAACCTCATTAAAAATTTGACCAGTTGAGTCATGCTGAGCTACAAATGCAGACATTTATTTAGCAGTGTTGTTGTAGACAAGATGGTCCAGGGAATAAGTGAGAAACAAGATTTCTTCCATGATATGTTTTATTGTACTAACTATATAGTTGGGAGAAATGTTAGGCAAGCTTTTGGGCACAGAATGTTCACCTCTAGATCTGGGGAAAAAACAGGCTAAGCCAGAACACTATACAACATGGAAGATATCAACATTTTCCTTTAAAATGGAAAAATCACGACATGAAGGAAAACAGTGCTATCTATTTCCTAAGCTTATGTAGGAAACAAAACATAAGCCCAAGAGGACTTAATGGGCTAAATCCTATTTTACTTTACATGCCTAAATGGCATGTACACAGCTTTTTAACTGTACTTTTTGGTACTTAAGCACAGTTTAGGATTCTGTTCCCCTGTGACAAAACAGGGCATAGGCCCTGTCAGATATGAAGTGGAGGAAAAGGAGGGCCCTCTCACCTTCTAGCCCAACAGTTAGGGCCCATGGCATAATAATGGGAGGCTGAATGGGGCACCAGTCAAAGGAGCTGATTCAGAGGGTGTGCCAGAATGAGAGCTTCTGGGGAATCTGCATGGTGGCGGCAGTAGCCAATGTGTAGGGTGCCCACTGCAGTCATGACACAGGGATCTCACATGGCAGCAGTAGCTGCCATGATGTTGGGGGGCCTGAGTGGCAATGGCCTTGGTGGTGGTGATGACAACAACAGGAGCAGCACTTACCCTCCCAACAGAAGCAGCACTTAGCTTTACTGAGCATTAGTCTAATTTAATGAGCAGTAAAGCATCACCATCTGCACATGTGCAGCAATTACTGAGCAGTATATTAGTCTAAAGCATCATTTTCTAGTACCTGTAGATACAGGTACTAGAAAACGGACACATTATCTAATGTGCTGTACTACCCAGGACAGCCCAGGTAGCAGGGGGCCACACTGCTGCCTGGCTAATTGCAGATCTCTGCAGGGCAAGGGAGAAAGCTGTCCCAGCTGGGCTTGCAACTCTGGGACAGCTCCTGGCTCCCCTCTCCCAGGGCTCAGGACTAATCCCTGTGCCCCTACCAGCCCTGGCTGGCATCAGGGTTAGCCTGGAGCTCTTCCTGGGTGCTGCAGGGGAGGAGCAGCCCTGGACTGGGCTGCTCCTGTCTGGCTCAATCTGCTCCTGACATGGGCTCAGGTGTAGCTGTGCGCCTGGGAGCACTTTCATGAGCCTGAATTTTCTGCACAGAAAATTCAGGTGCATCAGTTACATGTGTAAATGCACCCCCATAGTCTATCTTATGAGAGAAGTCTCTTCCAGTCATCCTCTGGCTCGAATACAAACAGTAAGATCTGGAATGTACGACTGCATCGGTGCAAAATTCTTGCTGGTGTTAGGCAGAATTGTGTACCTAAATCTAGGGCAATATAAGCTCCCAATATAAACTGCTGCACTCCACTCAGTTGTACAATGACTGAATGGTGCCAATGTGTTTGAAGATTGGCCCTGTGATATAAGAACATAGCTTAGATTCCTCTTCTCTCCAACAGGGAAGCAAACCAAAGATAAGTACAGCATCCCAAAGTCCTTTTGTGCTGTCATCTGGCCATTTGGCTCTGACACCACCTGAAATAACAACAAATCCCAAATAACAAAGCAAAGTCAATAATTTTCCAGCAAGAGTGTTTCGGGCCCTTTCATAGTTCGTTCTCTGCAGCAGATGTTGGCAGCAGAGACAGCACTGTGGTGAACAGAAGGGCTGGGAAGGTTCAATACACATCTCTTCTAAATGTAACAAATTGCTGTGGGGTGTCTGGAACCTGATCTAATAGCATTGTAAAAGGAAGGCAAACTCCCTAGATTCCATCAGGCAAGACATTGTGGAACTACAGAGATATTAGTGGCTGACCTTGAAAAAAGTTATATTTTCTTTCTGAAGTGATTTTTAGGAATGGTACATTCACTAGTTTGACTTATTTAAAGGTAAGATTTTTAAAGTTATTCTAATTGTTTCTTTATAGGGAAAAAATAGATGAGCTTAGTCTCAAGGATTTTAAATGTGTTATCTCTTAGTAAATCTACACAAAGTACAACTTGAATCACATGGGACCAAGTGCTTAAGATGAAACAGACATGAAGGTCAAACTCACTGCTGGTGAAAAAGGACTTTGCCACTGAAGTACAGTAATTAGAAGTTAGAACTGTCTGGTTATAAATTGTATCCATGGCCTTCTCAGCAGAAAACAAAATTGCTGTGTGAATCTTTCAGGTTTCTGAGGGTTCTCCCAAAAACAAGCAAGTTCTCAAATTGGGCTATAAAACTCAATCCTTCGGAAAACTCAAACTCCTTTGGAAAATGAATCCAAGATACAAGGCGTTAAGGGGCATCTTAAGATGACTGTTTCCTTTCATCCTTGTATTATTTTCTAAGTATTTCTCATAACTTATCTTAGTCACAAATAAGGATGGACTTTCTTTAGCTTTCCTCACAAGACTGTTTCTGCAGCCATCCAGCAAAGAATATGATAACTTGGTACTTGATTTTCTAGTCCAAACTTCCAAGCTGTGTCAAGCTAAGGATTCCTTCCATAAGTTTTTTTGCCCTTACCACGAAGGATTTTCTTTTTTTAGAAAAGAAAACGTTAACACTTTGCAGTATAATGTGTGATGCTGATGCAGCATTTTGAAGATATGAAGTACTATAAATGGTTTGGCATTAGCTTTACTGAAGATCAGAGGAAAATCCAGGCCATGGGTGCCAATATTTGAATGTCTACTCTCGCTCCTTGATGGTACAATAATATGTTTTGTCATTGATGAGTATTTTTCTTCCCAATTGTGTTCTTTCCCCTTCTAGACTGGCAAGTAGCTACTCTGGTGCTAATCCTAACAGCAGCTACCATTACCTTGTTGTCATTTCTTGTCTCCCTAATCTCCTTCTGCCTGGGGACCTATAGGCGATATTACAGAATTGTCGCTGTTCTCCTCTTTGCTGCAGGTAAGTTACTGCTCTGTAAATAGACTACATATTCATACTTTTCTTATTTTATGGGATAAACTCTCCTGGGTTGTGTTTTGTGCAACTGCACTAAAATCATAAGTCAGATTTATTGGCCCCAGAAAATTCCAAAATGGAATCTATAGTTTTATAGGATCCATGGAGTTGTGCAATGTGACTTAAACCCTAATGATCTTTTATACAGAAGTATGGCCTAGGGGCTCAGGATGGAAACCTTAGGGTGTGTACAGAAGTTGCTTTTTCACCATTTGAAGTACTATATTGCTGTGACTTAACAGAAGTGAATAGCTTTACACTTTAAAAATGGGTATAGCGCTTTAAATTAACCCTTGTTAAATGAGGTATTAAATTTGAAGTGCTGTATTTTACAGTACTTTAGCAACCTACAGTGCTTTAAAGAACTTCTGTACACTAGTCACATTTCTGACCAGTAGGGAAGCCCCAGGAAACTGCAGGGCACCCCCTGCCTCCTAGCCTGGAAAATGCAGGGAGGCTCAGAGGCCCCTCCACCAAACATTGTACTTTTGTCATATTTAAGAGTGCTGTAACTTTATAGTGCTATAAAAAAGTGCTTTAAATTATAGCTCTGTAAAACGTGCATGGAGCACTTTTATATAAATCCCTAGTATCTTGAGACCTGTAGTCTGTCAGGGCTGTATCTCTGCATTGAAGACCAACAGAAGTAACCATTTTATATATAGACATGAGGTGCAGCCCTCATACTCCCCTTGCCCATAAGATCCTTGGTGGTAGACTGTCCAGAATGTATCCCGCTATTAACAGCTGGCATTAACATATTCCCCGAGGAGGCAGTGAACAGCTTCACTTTCTATCATTTACAATCTCACCTACCAATCTCTGAGCCACGATAAAGCTACCTTAATATATAATGTATTGGAATATCGCTAGAAAATATTAGAAGGCCATGTTTTTAGATGGTGATTCTTGTTTACTTTTGACAAAAGTTTGATAAGGTTTCAGAGCATAATCAATTCCTTTTTGTGATAGTTTAGTTTAGGTTCCAACTTCCGTGTTACATGAATGAATAAAAAAACACTATAACACTTTCAGTGGAAACTGTTTGGAATACAAATTCCCTGAGGAATTTGCTTGTAAACCCAAAACCAACATCATGCCAGTGAACAGAAGTGACTAGAAAATAATTATGAACTAATACAAAACTGGTCAGTCTTAGTTCCATCCTTGGAATGAGTGAACATCACAGAGAAGAAGAAAGGAAACTATTAAATCCTTTTATAAACTCTACCTTAAATTAAAAATCTGACCTCTTTTACCTCATTAAAACCCTCCAATGGGTTTTGCTTGAGCACTTTTAGGCCACTAACTGGCTTTAAAACCAGCTAGGATAAGGATCTCAGCCACCACTTGTTCTAGTTTTGCACAACCAAATTTCTGACAGTTTTTGCTAAACCAAAAACATCCTCAGTTAGCCTCTGGCTTTATATAAATCAAACACAATACATGTCTGCACTAGGCTTTTAAATAGCACTGATTTGTAAACGTGGCTCTAGCGTACTTGTCTGGGTGGTCTGAAAGGGGAAGGGGAGAGGAGATATCAAGATTACCAACAAACAGATTCTTCTAATTTTTGAAGATTAAGTATTTGGGGCTTTTCTGAAGTAGTGAAGAGAGCTTGAGTGCAGAGTCCACTGAAAAGCGCTGGCAGGGAGTTCCAGCACAGAGAACATGTCCTAGATGGCATCAGCAGGCCACAAATGTATCAGAGCTGGTAGGAATGTCTGTTGATTTTTGAGGAAACTATGATACTGGCATCCTAACAGCTTGACAGGGCACTGTGATGAGGAAGATCACAACATTGGTGCAGCCCACATGGCCAGGCATGGTTGAAGGAAAGTAGGCTATGATACTTTGCTCAAAAACAGGCTGGGTGGAAGGATGTGTACTAGACCAATCAATTCAACAACAGCTTTTTAATTTTAGATTTTAACCAGATGACTCTTCCCCCACCCCATTTCCTCCTTGGCCTAGTGGTCCTGCAGGTCTGCGCTTTGATTCTCTATCCAATCAAATTCATCGACAGCAGCATGCTGAGGAGCTACCATGAGTTCAACTGGGGGTATGGCCTGGGCTGGGGATCTGCCATCTTCATGCTGGGTGCAGCCATCCTTTACTGCCTGCGCACAGACATTTATGAGGATGCCTATTACTAAGGCAAGCAGAGGAAGTGACTGGCCACATCATATCATTGAACTACTATTAGATTGACTGGACCAGAGTGGGAGGGGCAGGAGGGTAGGAAAGGGAGTTAGTGGATCCACAAGACATCGAAACACAAGCTTGGCAGCAAGTAGACAAAATTAATGAAAGGTGGACATGAAGATGTGGAAGTGGATGCTCATCAAGAGGTTGGGGAAATATGGAACAAAATGGGCTATAGCTCATCAGTCCTAGTCTGTCTCTCATGCATTTCCCTTCTTTTTTAACACAGGGAAGTAGCATGTCCTGCCTTTTAGAGCATGGCTTACATTGGTTAAGAGGGACATCTTTGCTTTTATTTTGATATATTTTCACATCCCTGGTGCTCTAGAAATAATATACTATTTGGGTCTTTTTAAAACTTATTTGTAAGGCACGAGTTGGGAGTGTAATCATTTGGTTTTGGGGAAGCTTTTAGATGAAGGCATGCAGAGTTTGCATCTCCTTTTGGGGTCTTCTCTGCATAATGTGTTCTGATGTGGAAAAGAATAAATTAAAGAACCTGCCACAGCCTGTATACACATTTCTTTCAGAGATTTTAATGGCTTGGGTGACCTAGTCACTGCAGGGTATGAAGAGAGGCCAGAGTTGAAAAGGTCTGGGATGTAAATAGGCATGAAGTGCAGATTAAGCTCTTTGGAGCTAACATGTGAAGCAGATGCAGCAAAGGGGTCCTGCAAAATGTTCATTCCTGAAATAATTTTGAGATTTGTAGCCTGAATTATTTTAGTCCATGTTGATCAAAGGACTTTTTTTCTTTAAAAAAAAAATCAGGGGGAAACCTGCAATCTGGTTTAATGGCAATTTAAATAGCATTGCCACAAACCAACGGAAGCACCCAAATTAGGACAGTTACTGCAAAACCTGTGTTGCCACAGCCCCACTGATATAAGGAAGTAGCAATTGGCAGGACATGAATTTGTATCATATTCATAAACCAAGGCTGAGTTGTAACAGTGCCCTCAACTAGAAGTGTAGGGTGTGTGACCTAAGCTTTTTACTATATTACAGCTAATGTAGGTCAGTTACAAATTGCTGTTTCCATGGATTTGCATTGCATGCACTGAAAATGTGTGTGGATTATTCCTTTTGAAATATTCCTGGTTAACATGCAATCCACGTCCCAAACAGTTTTCTTATGGTTTATGTCAGGGGCATCAAACATACAGCCTGCAGGCCAAATCCAGCCCACAGAGCCATATGATCTGCCCTGCAGGTTCATGTGCCAGCCCTGCATGCTGCATGTGGGCTGGACCCCATGCCTCATGTGCTGCAAGCTGCGCGGGGGGTTGGTCTGGGGTAGTGCATGCAGCCCGCACCCTGGACATCTGTCATGTGCAGTGCTGGGTCCACCCTGCACTCCATGGGCAGCATGCGCCTCATGCCAGCCTCAGGGGATGTGGGCACAGCAAGCCCCTGACCCAGTGCGTGCTGCATGTGGCATGTGGGGCTGTGCCCTGGACCACACTCCTGTGCTGCCTGCAACGCTGGATTCAGTTTGCATGCCGCGGGCAGTGTGCGCCTTGTGCTGGCCTGGGGGGCTGGAGCATGCTGTTTGCGGCAGACAGGCTGGATCTGACACTGTGGCTACTCCACAGGAGTCTCTGTCTCTGTTCAGCCCACAGACTGGCCCAGGAATGCTCCTCTAGCTTACAGGGTTGGATGAGTTTAACACCCTTGGTTTAAGTAGAACACTATTTTTAAATGGGCAATGTAAAATCAAAGTTAAATCATGCAAGGTAAAAAGTTCCTGTAGTTTCCCATCAGCTAACTGAAAGCCCAATTATCTACTATGAACCCGATTTTATTCCACCTATTCAGCCCCTAAGTATGATCCTATTCCACCTTGGAAAACTATTCATGACAAGATAGATGTGTCTTCCTCCTGCTCACTGCTTTTTGTGACTTAATTTTAAGGCTAATATGATGGAGTGTTAAAAAAACAGGCACATCAATATTTTTGCAGAGATCTGAGCCAGGTGGGATAGGACCACAGTTAGGCATTTAGGTTCAGTTGTATACCTAATATATGTAATAGGATCTGGGCTTGTGTGTGTAAATAGGAACTTGCATTCACTAGTTTTCATGAACAGTTTTAAAGGGTTCCTTGAAAACCCTAGTCCCACTGTAACATTACTAGAAAAACTACTCTATCAGCATTGATGCATTATTAATTTTTCACTTGGGAATGTGAGAAACAATTGCATATAAATCAATGCCTGGCAATATATTCAGGAGGTCCCCATAAGTGCTCACCAAATTCACTCTTACTGTGGCTTCTCAATCCTCATGGTCCACATGTTTAGTCAACTTCAATATTGTCCCCTTAAGATGAGTACAAAAAGGAGCAAAATTGGAACAAATGTGTTTTAAGTTATTTGACACTACACTATGGTAAAGCAAAGCAACAGCTCCACTGTGTGGCCAGAGTCAGAATCTGTACTATAAAATCAGTGCAAGTCATCAGTGGAGACCCATGCCAAAGGGGGCGAGGACATACAGGATAATATCATTACTACACACAGGATATATAACAGTGTTTGTTGCTGTGGCAACTGCATCCCTACAGCAGGGCAAGAAGAAACAGTCCCTTTTACCTGAGAGTCTTATCATCTAAAAAAAAAAAGAGAGACAAATGATGGAAGAATGGGATTCAGCATTGTTCAGTTGTGGTATTGCACCAGTTGAGAATACTGTGAGGGAAGAGGAATCCTGACAACGAACCTTGTGAATTTATTTTGACTTACTCTATTCCCCATAACTCTTTAAATTTCAGCTCCTAAAATTAATCTTCTCTACCCTCTTCACACCACCAAATCCTTACCTAAATGGCTGGCTACATCCTTGAACCTTCTATCCCAAAGTTAGTGATTCCCATTCCCACAAGTCTTCAGCCAAATGTCACCTGCCTTTTTTATAAAGGCAGAGAACAAGCTTTGACATGAATGTATTTCAAAGAGATGAGAGGCAGCTGAATAAGGATTTATGAATAACTGGGTTTCTGGTTTATGAGCCATATCAAAAACAAATTATTCTGGTTTACATGTCAAGGTGAAAAGCAAACTCCACCCCTCCAAATGTAAAAAATATGCTTTTGTTCCATATAAAACATTTTTAAAATTTGGCTTTGGGTTTTATTTTAAATTAATGGAATTAATGGAAATTTAACATTAAATTAAACATAATTTGGAAATGAATCAGTTTTGGTCAACATTTTTGAAAAAAAAATTACTCCCTTGAATTGTTTCCTTTTTTTTTGGCTGAAACATTATGATAATTTTAATGCAAATCTGCAAGTTGTTCAGTTGACCCAAATATGCAGTTTTCAGTGAAAAGAGTTGCCTAGCTCTGGTGAACAGTGTGCTCCTGGGCTCTTGGCCAGCAAGGCTCCTTCCACTCTCTGTTTTTCCTACTGCTGTCTTTGTCAGCATGAATTTGAGATGGCTTCATTATTTACAAAGAGGATAAATCTACCCTGACCAGCCCCAAACTTAAGACTTCTTAAAGCTGTTAGCAATAATGAAAAGATTGGGGCCACACCATGGTGTGCAGGGTTTTAGAAGTATGGATCTGTTTTAGCCATCTGATGTGCTTTGTGCTAAAGTGATGAACTAGGGTACAGAATTGTGTGTGATCTTAATTGTACATTTCCATAACCTTTTACTCTTGGTATTTTATCATTTAAACTGTGCTTTAGAATTAACTGGCTTTCTAGTGTTTTCAAAAATAAAATGCAATTTTAAAATGTCTATCCTCTAATTTAAAAAAAACCAAAACATTAACACCTGGAATTAAAGGTGCCATAGTAACAAAAATACCTAATACAACTTTCTACCTGGGAAGGATAGTTACTTTTTGAAGGATGACTCCCAGATCATTTACTGATTCAGTAATAGCTGCTAACTAGCACAGTATTGGTATATATTGTGCTCAATGGAAATGCATTAGTTGATGTCAACCAAAAACATAATTTTTTTTTGCGATTCCTTAGTTGGTCTAATAAAAGGTATCATCTCTGAACCAAGAGTTCTAGAGTTTTGCATTTCTTTTTGTCTCAGACCAACACGGCTCCCAAATACATCCCTGACCCAAATAAGTGGTGGTTTATCTAGTGTGAACTTCAAAGCTCTGGACTCTAAAGCAAAAGTTGCCAAACAAAGATAAAGGAGACATACTTGGTAGAAAGTGAACACCTGCCTGAAAACTGCTTGAGGCGGTGCTGCACTATGCAGATAAACCAGAGAATGTAAGTGTGACTCACCAAAAACAGATGCGGAAGCAAAGTTACTTAGAAAAGGTGTGGTTCTATTTCAAGCTTCTTCTCAACCCCCCTCCATCATTCTAATTCCTCTGCACAAGAACTAAGGAATGAATAACAGTGAATGAAATGCCTTACAACAAAGAGTTTGAGAGGGGAAAAATTCAAGATATTTTTATGTGCTTATGCTAAACTCCATATGATCATTGTGGATTTTTTTTTTAATTCTAACTTTTACAAAGCATTGTGTAAGCTTAGACAGAATCCCAGGGTTCCAGAGGGAGTTCTGGACTAATTTCACCTATGTATAATTGAGTTGCACCAGGCAGGTGATTTGATCTAGACCTAGAACTGTCTTAACTAGCCCAGAGAACATCATCCAGTGTATGTTGGGTTCTCCCACAGGACAAAACCAACATAAGTGCTCTCAAACTATCGTTTCTTTACTCTTATGAAGAGGGGAGGGAGGGCAGAAAACTGAAGGAAAAGCAAGGGCTAGTCCACTTCAGTCTACAGCAATGTTTCAACTCTTTTGGAACTGCTCGTAATTGGTGTTCAGTTGGAGCAACCTCTGGGTACATAGGTGCTTGGATATTATTGCACGCCAAGATGGAAGATATGGAAGAATCTAAATAAGAAGAATATGTGGCACGTTGAGAGAAGTGACCATTTGCACATCAGCCACCACCCAAGTCTGAGCATACAAGTCTGAAGAAGCCAGGTAGGTTTTGGGTACGGCAGAGCTTGTAACCTTGCCAAGGTCTGAGCGTAGGATGTACAAACACTTCCAGTTAGACCTGTTTAGTTGGAAAAGTCTCATATGAATCATTTTTTTCTAAAGACAGCAGTGCATTAATTTTTTTTACAGACTGAATGCCTGTCTAACTCTGAAGCTAGATTGGGAAAGTCAGCAGAACTCAGAAGTTTCCCCACACTCTGACAGGAGCTTGAGAGCATGGCAGATCCTCACCTTTACACCTGGGCAGTTTTTACTAACTTTCTGTGAAAGATTTTTGTGGTGCAATTAAAGTTCCCTAGAGACTAGGGAAGCTTTATTTCTATGGCCAAGAAAACTACCTCCAAAACTGAGTATCCACGAGGGCTAAAAGATAATCCTATGCATGTTTCCTTCATGAAAGGCTCGTGAAGGAAACAAGTGTAAAATTTCTGGGCCATACTTCTATTTAAAGATTGTATGATTAGAAAGCACTTCAGATTACAGTACTTCAGAAAGAGTGAATGATACCTATGCTTTGTCTCAAAGTCAGCTAGTCTAATTTACTTCCAATTAAAATTTCTCCTCCACCTAAGATGGCACGGGTGGACCATAGTACATGGACATTGGAATACACCAGGAAGGCTTTCATGGGTGGGAGGGCACTAAAATACAAACAGGTGGGAAAGCTTATCAGAGTCCCAGGGGAGAAAAAAAATGTCATATCTTCCAAAATTTTTTTTTCAGTCTTTATCAAGCTGAAGCCAGTTCCTTCTTGGTAGACCTAGGCTGACATGTGTCCTGTGGAAACCTGATATTCTCCCAGGCTCTGTAGGCTTGCTGTGAATTACTTTACAAAGAAGGCAGGGTAGCAATGCACCTTATAGACTAACTGAATCAGACATGCATAAGTTTTCCCATGCATCATCTCGCTCCATCACAGCCTATCTTAGAAATGCTTTGCCTGTGTTTTCGGTGAGCAGGACTCTGCCACTACAAAGCTTGTTTGATAAAGGAAGCAATTCCTCTTTATGCAAGGCCACACCTACCACCTTTGTCCGAGAACTTTCTCCCCTGCTGACTGGGACTCTCCTCCCTGCCTGGCAGGAGCAGGAGAATGGAGAAACCCTGGGTCCCTTCAGGTCTCTGTGCTAACAGACCTGGGTACGCTGCCTCTGCTGGTGATGGCCCCTGGCTGGACTCAGAAGGCAGCTAGAGAAGTACCTTTGTAGACTGGCTAAATCACACACACAGACACACACACTATCTCTCTCTCTCTCTCCCCCCCCCCCCTTAATCCCTATATTGCATTGTATTTATGGGGGGGCAGGGATGGAGTGTCACCACCTCCATGCCCCTGCTGTTCTGCGTCTTGCAGGGAGTGGGGGGGGGGGCTCCCCCACCCTCTGCCTGGTCCTAGGTGCAGCGTTGGAATCACGGCTGAGCGCCCCACCCTTGGAGCACTCTGATTGGCTATTTCCGTCAGCCAATCAGAGTGCGAATAAAACGTTACGGCCAGACAGACAGGCAGAGACAAACTTAGGCTTGTATAATAGAACTAGCGAACTGTCTGTCAAGAATGAAGGCGGGTGGGGGGGGGGGACGGGGACAGAGGCCTGCATCCCTCCCCCACCTCGGGCCAGGGCCGGTTCCCGCCGCCCCACCGCCGCTTCAGGCTGGGACCCCCCTCCCCCTGCTAATTTGGGTCGGGGCCAAGCCCGCTCCCTGCCTCCCTCCCCCC